CCCCCCCCCCCCCCCCCCCATGTATTTTACATGCTCTGCCCAACTCATCCTCTAATACTTGAGCTTAGTGCTTTATAGGTATCTTAATGCTGTTTCTTGTTTATTATAATGGATTTTGTGCAAGCATATGGCCACCAATCTGATTCAACACATGAAAAACATTTGCAAAACAATATTAATTTAAAGCTGGGGGAAAACAATCATCAGAACTTTCAAATTCCTAAGGACTTTGTGTGTATATGTAAAATTTTGTTTGAGAGTATATATGTATTTCAGATAAAATTAGATGCGTATTTGACCAAATATACCCTTTTTACTTACCAGTGTTGACGTAGATGTGTCTCCTTCAGCAGAATCTGTCATTCTTGGTACTTTGACTGCCTCAGGTATAGGACTTTCTAATATCAGTCTCCGAAGAGCACTATCCCTAGGATTTTTGCCACTGGGTGAAGAAATGGCTTTCTCAAGATCACGTATTTTCTTCTGAAGGCTTCTCTTCTCATGCTCCAAATGTTGCATATCATCTTCCAGTTGTTTATTCAGCTTTGATTTAAGATTTACTTCTTCATATAGCTTTTCCTTTTGTAAATTTGCTGCACTTAGATCCTGCTGACATGTTCTTAGCTGGTCTCTGAGAGCCTGCTTCCTATCTGATGCTGCTTGCATTTCTCTAAAATAATTAGACATCCCATAATACATGAAACTGCAAAATATTGTAATTACATTCACTGTGTTTTTGTGATATACATAACAGTCTAGTCATGGATATTGTGAAATGGTGATGGGGTGTTCATCACGGTGTCACTCATTTGCCTGAAGCTGATCGTACTATCATTTGTCAGATTACCAGCAGTAGCTATAGAAAGCATGATGTACATTGTTACCACTGAAAGCTCTGATCTTCAGATATAAATTTATGTTTTGTAGTGAAGCATGAAAATATTTGTCAGTTTTACCCTCCTACAATCTTGATGCATACCAGTGGATTTAGTGGTGTTGTATTGGGAAGATGCACCAAAAGATTAGTATATATATATAAAAGAGAGAGATAAATGTGACTGATGTTTGGGCAAAGAAACACCAACATTATCAGTTTTGATGCATTTAAAAGCATTTCCTAGAATAAACTATTAATATGTCACTAGTGAGGCCGATACTTGAATATGGAGCTGTGTGTTGGGACCCATACAGGAAGGACAGGTAAGATCCCTAAACCGGGTGCAGAAGAGAGTGGCTAAATTTGCAAATTACATGAACAAATCTGGTTGGGAAACATTGGCACAGTGTAGAATGATAGCCCGATTGTGCGCCGTATTCAAAGCATACATGGGGGGCTGGGCTTGGAAAACGATAGGGGATAGATTACTAAAGCCATGCTACCTGGGCAGGGACGATCATAGTCAGAAAATTAGGACTAGGAAACAAAGAACGGATGTTGGCAAATATTCCTTTGTAAATAGGACCATAAGAAGCTGGAACCAATTACCTCCAGGCGTGCTAGAGTCTTTCCCCTGTAAATTAAGCACCTTTAGAAAGAGAGTCAGAAAAGTAGTTATAAGCAAGGGGTTATTAAGTGGGGATTAGATGGTGATAAGGGAAGTGAAGTGTCTTAGTCTCGAAGTGATGAAGTGCTTTAGTTCTTTGGGATAAAAGTTTCATGTACTGAGGTGTGACTTTATATTCTACTCTAAAGTATTGTGATTAATTAATGGATGTGTGTTTTTGTATGTGTCTCCATGTAAGGTGAAATGTTTTTATAGGGGTGGATGTCTAGTTATGTGTGTAAGGTGTTCTATGGAGTGTACTTGTTTATATTATATGTATTTTGTTGTAATTGTGTAGTGTAAGGACCACTGCCACCGGGTGCAAACCCAATTGCAGTAAATAAATAATAATAATAATCCACTATCATAATAGAATCACTTTTCTGTACTTAACAAATTACATTAATGGCACACTAAGTAATATTTGTAGCAATGTTTCCATTACAGGCAGTAGTTGCACCAAATGTTGAGTGCAAAACTGGAGAGATATGTTATGATGTGATTAAGGATGACAGTTTAAATCAAGACACGCTACAAATATTTGTAGTGGTGTATATAAAATTTTAACTTAAAGTTTAACTTCCCAGTTTAATTCTGGTCCTCACAATGAACTGAGAGAACCTTTATCACATAGGATTAGTAGATTTAAATCCCCATATTATGGGTATTACTAGCTGGACTTAAGGTCTAAGGTTCAGTGGGTCAGCAGTATGCTTCTACAACACAGCCAGTCAGATTGCATATGAGCCAATACAAGTTAATTAATTACCTTCTAAGGACTGATACATAGGTTGCTAAAGATTTCCTTGAATCATGTGAGTCTGCATGTTTATCCAGGATTTCTTCCACTTCTGTTGTGGTTCCATGAACAATTATCTGAATACTGAAAGAAGATGGTATGTTATATATGACACTAGCTCAACAGTACTTTTATCACAATATAAGCTTGTGAATTAAAATGTTTACAGAATGTGGTGTATGTATATGATTATGTACACTTTCAACTTTATCCATAGCTCTGAATACATGCAAAATCAGGTCAGTTTGGTTACTTTTTACAAATAATTTTCTTGTTAGCATTAAATGAGAAATAGAACTGTAACACAGTTACCTCTCCAGGCAAATGCTGGGACAATACCTGAAAATATGCCAGTAGCTCTTCCACATCTCTTACGACTCTCTCATCACTATCTTCTTGCAATATTTCATTTGACACTATACAAACCAGTAGTCAGTACAGAATTATAAAATAACTGATCACTTTGTCTACCGTCTTTCCATTGCTACAAATTAGAACACAGATGTTAATTATAAGTACTTGTGTAAATTAAATACCTCTTCAAAATTTCAAGTTGTTTGCGGAGTTTTTTTGCCTCCTCCCGAGAATCTTCTGCATCTTTGTTTTGTAGTCGCAGATATCTGATTTGATCCTTTAGTGCTGATACTGATGATTCTTGTGAACGAATCTTGAATTCTAGTGTTTTAATCTCTTCCCTAGAATTGGATAATAATGGATCTTGATTTTCTGGCAATGTTATCTTGTGGGTCACAGGTCACAAGTAGCTTGCTTGGAAATATGTTAATCCCAAAATTATTGTTAATTAAATGTACGTATGACGAGCAATATATGGTGACATCACAAAATTGGTAATTTAATTTGTGAACTGAAGGTGCTTTTTGTCACTTGTCCATCACTCCCACAGTAAGTGGTTTAGAGGATTATAGATGTATATATTCAGCAAACTAACAAAATGCACAGTGTTATGAGATAGCTACCAAAAGGAAAATACTAAAGATTAATGAAGTATTAAAATGGAATTACACATATTTGAAGCTGATAATTCTTTTCAAGACTGTTTTCTAAGAGTGATTTATTAAAGTATTGTAACAGTGCAGAAACACATGTTTAAGATAGAGCTAATTATATATATGTCAGTAAACCATCTACATAAAATAAAACGCTAAAAAGTAATGTATGTATGTTTTTCATGTATTACTAACCTTAATCCCTTATTTTGATTGCTCAATGTTTGATTTTCTTCAGAAGCATTTTTAATATCTGTATCCTTCAGATGAATCTGAAATGTCAGATTATCAATCTTATTACGCAAAAGACTAGCATCTTCTTCCGGTTCACTGTTTGCAACATTAAAATAAATTCGATGGATTGTCTTCTCAGTTGTTTTGTATCGACACTGTGGACAGGACTTGGATCTACAATAAGAATAGGAATATTAATTTAATCGTTCTCAACAGTATAATACACAGACAAAGCTGTAGTTCATAAGTGTCATAAATCTTAAAAAACACATGAAAATAATAAAATACTGTTTAATTAAATACCTCTCAATCCATTGAATCAAACATGGATAATGGAATAGATGGCCACAGCCTGTTACAAATACCTCAGATGTAGCAACAAACAAATCACCACATATCACGCAACTAATGTGCATGATTTATATTACAGAATAACTAAGTGTGTACAATAAAATGACTTATTCTTTTCATCCTACGAACAAACTAACAAATTATTCCATTTCCCGCCATGTCAATAACTGATTAGTACCAACCATGCGATCTTAATATACCGATTCAATCATTTCATTTCTCCACTGGGCTTCCTAAAAATAAGCGCGATTTTTCAAATTCGAAAATGGTCACCATGCGATGAATCGATCGATGATAGGTGCTTAATGCAAATTATGTTTGAAATAGGTCCTTCTTTCTTAGCACCAATGATATAATCTTAAGAAATTTGCTACATCTGTCACAAAGGAACTGGTGGTATTGAGATGGAAACAACAAATCTCTTCAAGTCCTGTTGTTACTATTTGGTTACATTGCAACATATTCTGCTGCACTTCCTTTTCACTGCGCAACATTATTTGGTAAGTGCCACTTTGTAGTTCTGATAATGTTAAAATTAAAGAGAAACACTTGCTATGCAGAGATTACTCCAAAATAACCCACAAGCTGCAGTACAACATAACTGTGATGTGGGATGTAAATTGCTTTGTATGAGATGTAAATTTTTTCAGTTATAGACTTTTCAATGCAGTGCTGTATTTTTTTAAATTGATGTTTAGTGTACTTCAGTGAAATTTTAACACCAAATGTCTTGGACAATCAAAAATATTTTGACTAACACTTCCTGGCATATCAATATTGTTCTCATTGCATTATACATAAATATATCTTTATTGCATATGATATACTCGTTAATGAACTTTATTGTAAATAACCAAGAACTCTTTCAAACTAATTCTGCTGTACACAATGTCAACACAAGGAATAAAAATCAGCTTCATAGACCAGTTGCCAACCTCTCATGCTTTCAGAAGAGTGCATATTATGCAGGAATCAAAATTTTCAATAGTCTACCAACAAATCTCACAAGTCTTGTAAATAAGAAGGAGCAATTTAAGGTAGCATTAAAAAGATACTTAATTACACACTCCTTTTACTCTGTCAATGAATTTATGTTGTTTACAAATAAGTGATAAATTTTTCTTGTGTGTAATGGGTAGATCTATTTGTAGCTTATCATTTCTTTAGGTGAATACTTTGTTTTGTATTATGTGAAATTTATATAATTAGTATGAATTGTACTTTATAATATGTAATGTATTATTATTATTTTTATTATTATGACTTTTTCCACTTACTATTGTCATCTGACTGTCTTATGGATCCATGGAATGTAAATAAATTATTATTATTATTATTATTATTATGGATCTGTAAGTTAAGTCAGATGACAATAGGATGTTGAATAAGTCTTAATGATACAATACATATTGCAGGTCCAATTAATAATATTAAAACATTTCACATATTATAGATGAAGGTTTCACATAATTAATAATATGTTGCAAATACATCCTTGCATTATATACAGTAGATAAATTATATTACCCATTTTTATCACATGAAAGCAAGAAAACCTTAATGACCTTTATTTGTTAACATTAGAAATTCATCAACAGAATAAAAGGATTGTGTAATTAAGTATCTTTTTAATGCTATTTTCAATTAGAAGACTTGTAAAACTTGATGGTAAACTATTGAAAATTTTGATGCGTGCATAATATGAAGCCTTCTGGAAACATGACAGGTTGGTAATTGATCTGTGAAGCTCTTTCTTATTCTTTGTGCTGACACTGTGTAAAGCAGAATTGGTTTGAAAACGTCCTTGGTTATTTACAATGAAGTTAATTGATGAGAATATGTATTCATATAGAAATCCATTCTCCATACCCCTCCAATTACCCATGGTAACTGGGGGAGTAGGGGCCCAGATAATTCAATTAATTTTTAAACTAAACTAAACTAAGTGTTTGACAATAATAATAAAAAACCCAGTATTGTCAAGGTCATTAAGTCAAGAAGAATAGGATGGGCAGGGCACATGGCATACATGGATGGGGAAGAGGTGTGCATGGGATATTGGTCGGAAAGCCTGAGGGTAAGAGACCACTGCGGAGACCTAGACATAGAAGGGAGGATAATCTCAGGCAGGATCTATGGGAGATAGGGTTGAAAGAGACTGGATTTTGTTGGCTCCGGACAGGGTTTGGTGAATTTAGTGATTCTATAAGCCATCTAGTTAGTTAGTCATCATTCTCATTTCAATCAGTGATACATAAATTTGTTCTAATTATTTAATTCTAATGTTACAGCTCTCACTAAGCATGCTGATATCATTTAACACTCATTCTTCTCAATGTCACCTGCTATATCTCTTTCTCCCATTTCACTCCACTATCCAGAGAAATTCCTAAACATTGTATTTCATTTTTCACTTCTGTCTTTTTTATTAACAAACCCTTATTGTTATTATTATTATTATTATTATTTAATAGCAATCAAACACTAACTAATATTAATAGTGAAAATGTTTATTCATAATTTTGTTATATACAGATATTAATTTTAAATCCAGCAAGAACCAAACATATTACAGTATATAAAAAGAGCAAAACAAATTAACATACACAGGGTATAAAGTGCAGTCATTCTCTCACAATAGTATGCTTGCATTATCCACAGCCAGACTAAAATATCAGATGAACTGATAGGAAATACTTCCCCCACACATTTTTTTTATTTACATATTAACATCACTTGGATTTTGGCTATACACCAATCCTTCCCCACAACTTGAACATTACTTGTTATTCAAGAGCTAGTTCATCAAAGCATCAGTACTGAAGAATCACTGTCAATTTAAAGAAGGGGGAAAAAGTTCAATTCATCGTTCTTCTAAAATCACAGTTTCTTGTGGGAAAAACTTAAGTTCTTGTAGAGTTACTTTAGGATCAAGTGAAGTAAGCTGAAACACCAAACATATTCAATGTAAATCAATGCAAGACAAAAATACTAAACAAAATAATACTGATTACTATATGGAATATTTGTCAAATAAGATGCAAGTAAATACAGAGAATAGTATGAATCTGATACAAAGGAACTTTAAAACGTATCTCTGAAAATTCATGGCAACTGGGAAACAAATTTTGAAATGTACACTAGCATAACGGTGTGTCTGCCTAAAGCTGACCCTCCGAATAGTAGGGAACTTTTCATCTAGTACCTTCTCTACACAAAAATGTAACAGTTAAGTAAATACTTGTGATGTAGGTGGCCTGAAAAGCAAGTGATGTTCTGCACATGTATAAACTTCCTATTCCTGAGTAGAGAACGCTGGTTTTTAGTAGAAAGATATTTCTCACACAACTTTGTTGCTTTCTGCTGTTTATAGTATTATTACTCATTTATACACCTTGTCATTACTGACTACTTTATGACTTCCAGTGTTATAAAGTATTACCAGTAAAGTTTACATAAAATTGGAACAAGCATGATATTTTCCGGCATGCTAGTAATTCAGCATGTGACTTCCCAGGGATTACGTAACTCTTATGTGCAGTAGGTTTTCATGTTCAGTATCTGTTATTGTTGCTTAATCTTAACCAAAACAGGAATGTGTTGACAAATTTTAGTAAACTCCCCAATACCAAAATTCATGGAAATCCGAAGCAGGACTCTGCACCACCTAAGTTATTGATTTTGACTCATGCCTCTATCCTCAAAACTTTTGAATTTTTAATCCAAAATTCATGTAATTCAATATCATTTATAAATTACATTTGAAGGTTATACCACTGATTGGCATTCTAATGAAGGAACTAGCAATTATTAAAAGAAAACAATAAAGGTCATTTTGCAGTCCAATACAACTAAAACCTAATTTTGTGTGACATGGTGAAAATACAATGTCATATGAACAAGGAGAGTTAAATTACATAGATTCAAAGTTAAAAAAGTCTTGCATTCTGTCCTCAGTCACCTCACTCTGTAGGCTATCAAAATAACTATAAACAAGATATTCTATGGTTTATTTTGGTAACATAAAATTATAAGGGAGAAGAGGAAAGAACAGACTCCAATAAGAAGACAATTTCACTTGAACTGAACTGATAATCCATGCATAATTATGTCATATCAATGTGATGTTGACATATTTGCAAACATTAACATAAAATTCAACTTTGGTCGGTCAAAATTCCCTTAAAAGGCACATTCTAACCACTCACATCTGAATATCATGTTCCATAAAGCCTACCCTGTAAATTACAAAGGACAGTCTGTTGAGTTGGGTATGACATTACTGTAATTCAATGTAGAATCATGAATTCTGTACAACTAATGCTGATGCAGTTCAGAATTTCTCAGTTCACTTAACTACAGAATGCTGGAAGAAGTGTACCCAAATATTTGTCAAATGATGGCAGAATATGTACAATTTATTTTTAAGTGTATATATCTCCTTGGAAAGGTTAATATTGTGGGTAAAGCAATGTGCTAGTCTCTACTAGCTTTTGATTACAAAAAAACCTGAGGGACATATTCCTGTACAAATACTCAAACTCATTTTTATTTATTTGAAGTACTTTTGGTCCTACAATTGAAATCTTACTGAATGATAAGAGCAATAAATCCAACTTACATCCTTTCGAGGCCAGCTAGAAATAACCTTATACTCATCTGGTGGATAACCCTGCACCACAAGGAAATCGAGTAATACCTAAAACATACAGAAAAATTACGCACTATAAATGAAGTACAATGCTAAAATAATAATAATAATAATAAATTAATATAACATACTTTAAGTGGAGCTGTAGCTTGGAACCGTCGAACCAAACACTCCCCCTTTGGAAGTCTGAAACGAATTTTGGCGATGCAATCACCAGCACTCTCTTGTGGTTCTTCTGGTAACTGAGACTTAACTTCCAGTCTATGTGCCTAATACAAAACAATGTCAGGATTAAATTTTCTGTATAAAACAAAAGTTTAGTATGACAAGGCAATGAATAACTGGTGCAAGTTCTATAGAGACATTTAAATACAGCGTGAGAAATTTTAACATCTGTCACTGGCTGGCATTGTGCTTGGTTTTAACTCAGGCTGACTGATTACTTGTTCATCGAGTATTAAGGATTTATGAAAACTATGAAATCCTATCCTAACTATGAAATCGGCTGGGGGGTGATGCTGACCACTCACCCCCATCTAGTGCCGAGGTCAAGAAAGGGAGGAGCTATACCTCCTCTCACCCCAAGCGCCTGTATGGCACGTAGCAGGACAAACTTTACTTATGAAATCGTATCACTCAAGACAATCAGTTTGTGGGCTGAAATTACAACTTGGGACCATGAAGTAGGCCATTTAGCCATGACATCTGATGTTCTTAACTCTTTCTGCTAGTGACTGTATATATGAATTTAACATTATTCAATCCACTTCCTTTAATTTATTTGCATTCTATACTCCATTCTCTTCCAATCTGTTCAAAAGTTGTATGTATCAGAATAAAGAGTATTTTCTAAATTTGAAACTGTTATTACTATTCACCAACATATAACTGTGTACATTAGTATTTCCCTGCAACTGCCCTTCATATAAAAGCAAAATAACTTTTTAATAATGCAATGCTTTTTAGTAATACTTAATTTCTCTTAAATTATTCTGTATTTATATGTGTGTAGTATACAAGAAGGGAAAAAGTAAGACATACTTCTTTTATCAATTCTACTTCTTGACGCTGAATTTCTCTCTGCTCCTTTTCCTTATTTTCCATCAATTCTTGATGTCGTTTTGCCTCTTCTTTGGCTCTGTAAGTTCATACCAAAATATTTAATACCATGTGTTTTATATTTAAATTCTTTCCATAAAATACTTCAAAAGTACAGTGGAATCTGTGAACAAGAAAGGAACAGAATTACCTGTCTGCTTCTAGTGATTCCTGATAAGCTGCATCTTGTTCTCTTTTCACAAGTTCTCGAGCTGCTCGTTCGTCTTCTTCGCGTATCTCCATTCGCTGCTGCTCAGTAAAAACGTCAACTGCTTGTATCAAACTAGTAAGCAATTCACTAACACCCACATTACCTATGACAAATTATACAAATTATGTGAGATTTGATGTTTTCACAGCAGTGAGTATGAAGATTTCTGTCTTCTGGGTTGTTGCGCTATGTAGTCTGAATCGCCCTGATGATAGAGGCAGTATGACCTCTGAAACGTTGGTAAACATCGACCAGACTACACAGCGCAACAACCCAAAAATCTTCATACAAATTATTTTCTGTTCATCCATATTTTATTGTGCTTTACAAAAACTAAGACAAACATAAATTTTATTTAAATTAAAAAATTACAGAAGTTAATCATACCATGCACAATTGTGAATACTTCAGTTGCTGACCGCATTCTCATTATGATTAACAGTGCTGGAAGTCTCTCCACTTCTATATTCCTAATTGTCATAGCTGCCACACTACCCAATGTTCTAGTCACAGACCCTAAGAATCTGCAACAAACAATATGAATAATACACACAGAACATAACATCTTTCAGAAGTGTTCATATATGGTCTGCAGCTTTCCTTGAGGGACATAACCTTCTATTTGATCCCTGTAAATTATGGTGCTGAGATATCCTAAATTATAAGGAGAGTTCTGATGTTCTGAGAGAATTCTATTCTGGGCACTCCAGATCTCGGTACTAAGTCCAGGTAAGTTATCAGCTTTATGCACCAGTTGCTATACTACAGATTGTGTGAACACACACATATCTACACATGCATGAGGCTGAAGAATTGTATCTCTGCAATTCAGTGCAAAGAAGAGTAGCAAATTATTAATAACAACATATTTATTACTGTAGGCACAACATAAAAAGAATGTAAAAGTTTTGACCAGCAGTGTTTATTAGCACTGATCATAAACAAAGTTAGTAAAGGATTTGAGGTTTTCACGATGGTGAGTCTGAAGATGGTTGTCTTCTGGGTTGTTGCGCCATATAGTCTGGTAGAAGTTTACTAATGTTTCAGAGGTCCTTGCTGCCTCCATCATCAGGGTGATGAGTAAAGCAGTAAACTTCTATCAGACTACACAGCGCAATAACCCAGAAGACAGCCATCTTCAAAGTTAATAAACCAACCATTCAGTTTGTAGTTATCTTAACATAGCTTTCAGCAGTGATTTTTCAATTGCAGAGCTGTAAATTTGTTTTATCTGATTGTAAATTTACCTTTTATACACTTGTATAGTAGTATAAATCAAACAGTATTATAATGCTTCTTTCATAATAATGTAACATGAACATAAGTTACGAAGTACAATACTCACTTTAACTTGTTTGATTCATGAGTGAGATCCCAGCCCCACACAACAAAATGATTGTTAAGACACTGAAGAACAGATTCAAAGCCTAATAACTGAGTGCAAAACACATTTGTGAGGATGCTGCCATCATGGTGCAAGTACACTGCAAGAAGCCGTCTCTGCAAGAAGTGAAAATTCATGAATCAGAGGATATAGTACAGCTGTATTCATGTGAACAAATATGTACAGACAGGACTTCTAACATGGAAAAGTGAATCACATTAACTGCTGGCACCAAAGTGCACTAACTTTTCATTATCAAAAATACCATGCATGTTTATTAACATGTTTCTAAGAAACATTTTAATGGTTTTCATACATTTATATGGTACAAAGTATGAAAAACTGACTTCTTTAGCTAACTCTGTGCATAACGTGCCTAATCTATATATGAAAGGAAACTGGGGAATGTCTTGCCATTACAGGGTGTCTTGACTAATGAATGAACAAATAGATGAATTCAATAAACTAAAGAAATCTGCGACATCATTGTCCTTAATGTTCATGCCCCAACTGAGGACAATAGCGATGATATCAAGGATAGCTTTTATGAAGAATTGGAATCAGTATTTGATACATTTGGCAAGTATCACATGAGAATTCTGCTAGGAGATTTCAATGCAAAAATTGGGAAGGAGGATATCTTTGAACCCACAATAGGCAGCGAGAGTCTCCATGCACTTAGTAATGATAACAGTGTTAGAGCAGTAACCTTCACTATGTCAAAAGATCTAATTGTAAAGAGTATAAAATTTCCACACCGTGATATTCATAATACACTTGGACTTCTCCAGATGGGAGCACACACAATCAAATAGACCATGTTTTAGTAGATAATAGAAGGCAGACAAATATAATTGATGTGAGGTCTTTCAGAGGTGCAGATTGTGACACTGATCATTATCTGGTGGTAGATTTTTTTCTGTATCTGAGACATTCTTCATCAAGAACGGTCTAAAACAAGGAGATGCTTTGTCTCCCTTGCTCTTTAACTTTCCGCTAGAATATGCTATCAGGAAAGTCCAAGATAGGCAGGAGGGTTTGAAATTGAATGGGACACATCAGCTATTGGCATACGCTGATGATGTTAATTTATTGGGGGATGATATGAATACAATAAAAAGGAATGTAGAAGTTTTACTAGAGGCTAGCAGACAGGTGGGGCTAGAAGTAAATTCAGAAAAAACTAAGTACATGTTAGTATCTCATCGTCAGCAGACAGGAGGGGCAAAATTATCTTAGGGTAGCTAATCCTTTGAAAGGGTTACAAAGTTCAAATATCTGGGAACAACAATAACAAATCAAAATGACACTCATGAAAAAGTTAGGAGGAGATTAAATTTTGGAAATGCTTGCTACTTCTCAGTTCAAAATATTTTGTCTTCCCGTCTGATTTCTAAGAACCTGAAAATTAAAGTATACAAAACAATAATCTTGCCTGTTGTTTTGTATGGGAGCGAAACATGGTCTCTCACTCAGAGGGAGGAACACAGATTGCAGGTGTTTGAGAATAGGGTGTTGAGGAGGATATTTGGGCCTAGGAGAGAAGACGATGGGGCATGGAGAAAACTGCATAATAATGACCTTAAAAATCTATACTCCTCCCCCACTATTGTCAGGGTGATTAAGTCGAGAAGAATGAGATGGGCGGGGCATGTATTGCACATGGATGGGACAAGAGGTGTGCACCGCTGGGGAGACCTAGACATAGATGGGAGGATAATCTCAGGCGGAATCTATGGGAGATAGGAGTTGAAGGAGATAGGAGTTGAAGGAGATTGGATTTTGTTGCCCAGGACAGGGTCCGGTGGAGGGCTTTGGTTAATTTGGTGATGAACCTTCGGGTTCGGTAAGCCACCTAGTTAGTTAGTTAAAGAAGAAATCAGATTATCAACAAGATATATTTCTAAAAATGTAATATTAACTTGGAAATCATATCTTACTCACATCCTTAGCTGGTTTCAAACAAGCTTCTTTAACAGCTTCATCCAAAGACCCAGGGAAAAACTCTGGATGACAATCTCCATAACGATTTGTAAACTGATCCGCAAAGTGAATACATCCAGCTGTTTCATCTTCCACATTATTCGGAACTACAGACAAGAAAAACAACTTCATTTTGTCATTTTAAATTATATTCAAGTAGACTTTCTGTCTCTAGAACTTATAGTCTTTTAAAATTGTGAAATGCCTTTACAAACATTATTTAATTAGGCCATAATTCTTTCCTCATGTTACATTAGGAGCAATCTTTGTGTGTGTGTGTGTGTGTGGTGGGGGGGGGGGGGATTTTCATCACTGGCCACTAAAAATTATGATGTCTTACAAGCCAGCTGAATTTTCATTTAGATCAGACAATTTTAATGTTATACAAAACCAAACTTTTTAAAGCTTATTTCATTACATACAAAAATATACTTGTCAATAACACTGCACATAATTTGACAGTTTGTATTCTATAAACCCACTTTTGCAATATAAAGAAAATGTTTTCTTGCTTTCTATTACTATCTATTATTAGACTTAGTCATTTCAATTTTAATGCGGTAATTAAAATAATTAAATTCACTCTCCTTTGCACCCATACAGCTCTTGTAATAACATTAAATCTCTGAAGAAAAATCTATTTCTTAAAGTCCTGTACTTTCATCTGAGGGATAAATCAGACTTTAGGTAGAGTTATAGGTGGGGGGCATAGATACTATTGTCAAACAGCAATAAAGTAAGTTAGAAACTACATACACAGGAAAACAATTCTGGAAAATATCTCAGAATTGTTATCCTATATGTGCATTTTCTAACTTGCTATACTGCTGTTTGACAATTATGGACATTTGCATGCAATGGGAAATTAAGTTTACACTGTAATAATTCCCTAATTTTCATTTGCTTTCTTCACTATTCTAACATACTTAGTGGTTGCATCCTTTTTGTTTCAACATCAACAAATATATCATCCTCTGTGAACGTCTCTGAAGCATCTTCAAATTCTTCTACAGAACTATTGTCACTATCTGCCAAATCAACTATAAACTGAAATGAAAATTGTACATAATGTTATTTTATGGTAGAGTCATAAAAAATTTAAATACTATATTAATGTAAATTTATAACATGGACTTTTGGTAATAAATTTCCAATAATGTAGGGTCCCATTCCTTTGTAAGCTATATGGGAAAATTAATTAGAAGTACTTACCCTTTCAAAAGTACAGCTCTATTTTCACATGAAAGAATAACCTGCCGTGTAGTATGATACAATACAAAATATTAAATTAGGATAAAGTCTTTGTACAGAAAGAGACCAAAAATGGATCCCTCAAATTTTGGGATCTCCACAGCAATATTAACTATCAACACATTCAACAATGACCTCAAAAATATAAATTGTGTTTAATTTAATCAATAAGGGTGGACAATGGAGATATATAGTTACAAACATGTTGCTCTATTAAAAAATTTACTCAATCTTAGTAAACAAATAGCAATGACCACTTTTTTGTGGGGGATGTAACTGCACATTAAGAAGATGGTAGAATTTTGTCTCGGGAAAAAGTTTCTGGATGTCAATGTGCTAAGTCTTTTGGACTGCAGCAACATAAACTAATAGGTACCAACCTTCTTATTTTCCTTGGCAGGATGTGCAGAGAAAAATGCTCTCTTGACAGTAAACTCATGAACAGGATGAATTCCTGAACATGCAAGAGTTGTTCTATCATTCTTCAGTTGTGATGGCCAGCCAGTCCAAACCTGATGTCGCACAGGGATGTCAGTGAGTGTATAAACATCTGTTTTCACTTCCAGCACTGTTTTAGACCCAAGAAACTTCAAGCTGTAGTCCTTTTGCTGTGATTCATCATGAATATTTAATGTATAGGACTGAATCAGTTTTTCTGCTATGTTTGAGCTGAAACAAATTGAAGAGTGATCTTCAAATCAAGCACAAAACTATAATTTTTAGTGACAAGACACAAATATATTAAAGTTGGGCAGTGAAATCACCATATAGAACAAATCAGGCTAAAGGGATGGGGAACTCCATCAGGTAATACAATTCACAATTATTTTCTTACAGAAGATTATTTACTTCCATTGACCCAATGCAGAGTACACACGGTCAAACAGGCAGAGTGAAGATAATAGGTGCTCCTGAATTGTGAAATGTGCCTTAAAAGATACAGAGAATTTATGTGAAATACTTTGAGGTTATTTTAAGACTGAATTACAGGAAAACTATTAAACATTGGCAAACTCATGGAATTTTATCCTGATATGTCCATGAATACAAACACACATATATCAAATGGTTCCCTCAATAGAGCTATCTAGATATCTAGATATCTAGATATCTAGATAGATCTAGATATCTTTAAGACACAATAATGACTAACGGCTAGATTTACATTCATCAGAAGTTGTCAACTGTAGATGCAAACTAGTACAGTATATTATATTATTATTTTTATCAAACTGTATTAGGCCTGTAAGTAATATGGGACTCAAAATAAATGAATGTGAATGAAAATTACACATGGTAAAGTTTAACAAAAGTGTCATACAAAATTTCATCAAAATCTATCAAAAGATAATTTAGGAATGCAAATAAAGTGAAAAAAAATTTACTGGAACATTCATATAAAACTCCATTTCATGTACAGTTATCAGAACAGTTACTCCAAATTTTCCCTATAGTTTAAAAACTGTTACTTGTGGTGAAATGCATCAACAGAGAATTAATAAATGCTATTTAAAATTTCTGTTTGAAATACACCCCCAAAAAGGTCATAGTGTGAAGGCCAGAACATTGCACAAACTTTAAGTAGCAGAAAAATGTAAAGAACTGATAAACCTCTCCAATTGATTATAAATACTAAATACCCAACAATGTTAACATTCTGGTGGAAAACTTCAACTGAAGTGAAAGAAACCTTCATAATTAGCCAACAAATACATTTATATTACCATAAAACTTGGCAAAAGCCAACAGCCAACCTACTTATCTACCTACATACCAGCATGGCACAATGGAAGATATCCCTCTGTTTCGGAGTTATCAGTTTCAAATTACAGGCAAAACTAGACTATCCTCATTGAGAATCATATCATGCAGTTTTTATAGAAAACTAGCGCAAAGCACTCCTTTTGGAGCTCCTTTCATCTATCAATTTCTGTTGATATTTAATACTACGTTTTTCAGTGTGTTGTTTTCTTTTTGCTCTTCTGTTAAATTGGTCTGATATTTTAGTTCTTTACGTCGCTGTTCAGAGGCCAACTGTTATTGGTCAGTCAACTTTCTACGTCCAGCCCCACCCTTGCACATCTTCGTCTTAAAATCGACCATAAAGTCAGTTTTCGCAATAGTTTTCGTAATATATCGAATGAATATTATAACTTGAATGAGTAGTATTATTAGTATCAGTTTACTTTGCTGGTGTTGGTACTTCAAATAGTTGATAACATCTTCTTTCACTTTTCTTCATTCCTTAAATAGGTCTGAAGCATCATTTGTTTACTCAGCATTGTTGTGTTGGTATACCAACACAACAATGCCGAGTAAACAAATGGCTACAAATAGGTTGTTTACTTGTCATTGTTGTGTTCTATTATAAATAAAAATACAACAATGGCAAGTAAACAAATGTTTGTTTGATGATGTCATTTTTTGGCTATAAATTGGTTTTATACAAATAGGTTGTTTACTCGCCATTGTTGTGTTCTATTATAAATAGAAATACAACAATGGCAAGTAAACAAATGTTTGTTTGATGACGTCATTTTTTGACTACAAATAGGTTGGCGACGACGCCAAATCACAAATTTTTATAATAAATAATATAGAAGATCTGCATCCTGCAGATTCCAAAAATGAATGTCCTGGGGTTGTACTGCTTGAGGTGTCTGACATGTCAGTGATACCATCTGCTCCCAATACCACCTAGCATATTACCCAAACATATCTAATTTAATGTATTGCTATACAAATAGTGACATTTTATGATCCATGTATAATGCCAAAGTTCTTTTCTTTTAGATGTATTTCATATGCAAATAAACTAACATAAAGATTCATTAATCTCAACAATCAAAATCACATAACCACTTAGCACAGAAAACAATTTTTTTAAAAATTTAGATGGTTGAGTTGTAATGTTACATAAGAATTTATCAGTGCTATGAGAAAATAAATAAGTTAAGTCATATAATATAAAAGATGCATAACTCCATGCAGCAGAGTCCTTCAGAAGTTTAAAATTAAAATTATGTAGAAGCAGAGGATTGGCAGACAGATAAAGAAATAGGTGGTAATCTGGTTTTAAATTTATGATAAAACTTACCAGTATAATGTACTATTGCATTACATGTGGAGTTATATGTTAATGTAATGAAGTTTCACTTGTTGTAATGAATGATGAAATATTTTTCAGATTTCAGAATGAAATCTTTTACTCACTGGGAACATTATTTTGCAGAAAACAAATAAAAACTGTATTTGTATTAATATGATGGGTTCGATTCCCAGCGGTGCCCGAATTTATAACTTGTGTTGGGCAAGGCTGTGGTCTAGGCAACACGGAGTTTTCCTCCGGGGGCTTCCCTGGTTTCTCCGTGGCATCCCAACAATTACTCCATTCACACACAGAAGACGGCAATGGCAAACCACTTCTGGATCATCTGCCAAGAATGTATATGAACAGGTCCCAGTCCGAGAAAAGGATGGAAGGATCTTGTTCATATGGACCTGTTGTCAGACAGAACACTAAATAAATAAAAATAAAACTTACTCTTTGGTAGAGAATTCACCATCTTCCACATTGTTTGGAATTGTAAGAAAGAGTATGTTCTCCTTAGGTAAGCCAAGACTTCCCAATATTGTAAAGTCTGAACTTGGATAACTTTTCCATCCTTCAAAACACTGCTGACAAGTAGGAATTCCCAACTGAGCTGTCACTAATGTTTTCAAGTCACCTAAAACAGAAAATTTAGCTCATAATGAAATATGTACATCAGTGACACAGGACATTAATAAGTTGTTCACACTAACCCACTGTTCCAGTATCTGGTAACTGCAGCTGTATCAGTTTCTCTCTGAAGTGGATGCAAAACTGAAGGAGTCTTGTACTGCTCTCAGATTGTGAAGTGGACGGGAGGGGAATAACGTCAGCACTAACACTCACAGGTAATTTAAAAGGCAATGAACAATCTGAACCAACACATGAAACAACAGTTATATCTGGGCTTGCTTTTACAGGATTGGTTGGTTCTTGTTTTATTTCTTCTATCATTTCAACATCCACATCCATCTCAGAAGGCAATGTTTGGGTCTCCTGTGGCATTACACGGTTAACAGCAGCCTGAAAAGAACAGATTTTTGTTATTATATTACCTTTGAGCATGACTATACAAGATTATGAACTGTATTAACCAATTTTTCTATAAAAACGTAAGGTACAGTAAAGTATATGTATAGAAAAATCATTCAGCATAACCCCATAATTTTCTCAACCACAAGAATGCTCATTCGTGATCTTGGACCTCTCATATTGCAATATGTATTACCAATTTACACTCCAGTGATGGTTTGTTAGGTTATAAACATGGCTGAAATTGGCAAACACATTTTCCAAGATTCTTACATCTACAGTAACAAAAGGAGGCCGGAATCAAGCTGGACATGTAACAATCATTTCAGATTGGGGTTAAGTGGGGCTTGATTCGATTATATTATGTTATTACAGTTAATTTAAAACTATGACTCAACAATTTGTAACACTGCAGTTGTAGGTGACATGAGCAGGGTGCCAAGGAAGGAGATACTTAGAGGGCCATAGAAGGGAGAGAGTGGAAAAGCAGGGAAGCTGTAATCATTTATTCAGTTTTCCCAAATAACTTACCAGAAGATCCCAATTTGATTCTTCCAAGTGATAAATTGCTTCTCCAACATCCTCAATGCCTGTGCACGCCTGTTGGGAAATAAATTACGTACGTCAAAAGCCAAACATTTACTTCATATTCAAGACTTATCTTCAAGAGTGAACAATACATCTCATGACCTAACCTAGAAGTGGCCAATAACTTGGTTATAACCATTGTGACAGACTTTTGTATAGCTAATTGCATTATAAACATTTGAATTTTCCTATTACTGCTATGTTTTTTATGAAGAGGACAAGCTTACCTGAAAGTCAGCCAGTATTTCCTCTCTATTCTCGGACATTTTTAATTATTTATACCAACATACATATGAACATGCATTCATCACTATTAACTGTTATTTGATGTGCGGATAATGATTCAGTAACATCACCGGTGATTCAATTGTTTAGACACGTTCACAAAATATAAAATTCAAAGATTAATCTTTATATTAGCAATGCTCGTTTAAGGCAACATAAAATGTCATGAAAATCGCCACAAATCCTCCAAACTATGTTTACATCCATTGATCAATGGTTCAGACGAATACCAGTATTCTTATTTGAATATATACATAATGCGAGAACAAAATTTTACTAGGTCTTTGAGAACGCACTCCGTAATTGATCAATGTTGACAATGTACGCTGTACAACAAAGCATTTTAGCGTCAAAATGGATAGCAGTTTCATTCTTCCTTGACGTTAAATATAACATAGAGTTAGTACAGTAAGGAAATTATTGTATCGAAGGAGAAATACTAGTGTAGCGTAATGCAATTATAACAAATTTATTATAACCTTTTAGACTTATAAATAACGGTTACGTTTCACACAAGGTTGACATTTCTTTTTTCATTGTTGGCTGTACCTGGTGAGACAGACGACGTTGTCTGTCATTCTTTGGTTGTTGTAATGCCGACGGATGGGTTATTTGTATTGCATTAATGTATACTTGCAAAGCGTATTCTTTTTAGAACATTTATGATTCAAATAAGTAAGAGAAAATCTACTGAGTACATAATAAACACTGTAAGTACATTGGTGTGTTAGGATATAACTACTACTGTCCAATATCTCTGGTACAAGGATATGTTGTAACTACCTTCAAGGGCAAGACTCCTTTTCGAGAAGCAAATGGTACATGCAACTAGTCAAATTCTTCTCATTTTATGGAACCCGAAGGTTCATCCCAAACAAACCAAACTGCCCTGTTTAAAAGAGCCCGCCATCTATCCCCAACGTGAGCCACATGAATCCAGTCCACTCCCCCACACCTGGTTTCTCTAAAATCCATACCTTTGCTTATATTTTCCAAGTGGTTGAGCACTCTTGTTCTGTTTTGGCGAGGTATTGGGTTGAAATTTAGCGTGGAGACAGACTATCCTTACTGAAGACTTGTGGTTTTACTCAGTTCCTCCAGGTAATACCAAAATCGTACAGTAAATCAGCTACAGCTGCTTCCTTCCACATCCTTTCCAATTTATTCCTGTATGATCCAACATATAATTTGTTGTATAATCTGAGCAACTGAAAGTAACATTAAAAAAGTGTTGGGATTGTGCTGCGGTGTAGGTGTTTGATTGTCCTCTCCCACACCATAATCAATTCACTTATGTATAATTATCTTTACTTTTAAGTTGATGCTAACTGTATATACCTGCATTTACCAGATCATCACTAAAACTAATAGTAACTTTATAGACATGCTATTAGGGTCTAGTCCTGGGTCTTGCGTTTAATGATGGTAATGTGTTTGGTAATTTTGTTCAAGCAAATGTAGCAGGCATATTCCTTGTTCCTGTTTCATGTGTGTAATTTGTCTGTCTCACTTGATTTTATCTTAAGTACATAAAATAAGTACATTCCAGGAACATGTGGCCTTTGTGGTATTTTCAGGTCTCATAATATTGTTACATTAGTGAAATAGAGGTTAAATGGGCTTGACATGTAGTTTTGATGAAGATAAATTTGTACAGACTTTTTGTGGAAAAGGCTGATGTTAAGATGAGTCTTGGAAAGAACGTTTGGAATGTTTGTGGAGATGGGAAATGGGTATATGTGGCTCAGAATTGTGTCCACAGGCAGACTTTGGGATTAGCAGTATCTGGCCTTAGAGTTTTACTAAAAGTAAAATTCTTCCAGTACAGACACTGTGCCATTGTAACATACTATACTGTATAAGTGGGAGCCTGGAAATCATTATAGACTTGAGTCCTTAGAGCAGTCAGCAGTTTTCGTATTCTAGCTGCCTTAACCCATAGGAAGGCATTCCCAGTACATGAGGCTTATTTTTCATGTTGGAATAGTATGGCAGAAAAGAATTGTTGCTGGGAGCAAATTCTAACTGAGTCATCTTGGTTCTATGATATTGTGAATTCTTCTTAATAAATGAACTTGCCATTTATAGGTCCTCTTTTGCATCGTGGTCATAAGTTGGAGCTATGTGATAGCTGCTGGAAGGTACATATCTCTACGTCACCTATGTACCAAGGTTCATAGTTCTCAGTTACATATAGATACCAATGAGAATTAATTACAGATGGCATTTTCTGCTGATGCCGCAGCTTTTCAAGTTCAGGTGAGCTTTGGAATCAGTTAATTTTTGTTTTTATCTATGTGCTACCTGCCAATCTTTCAACATGATTACTACACCTTGAAGGTTCAGAACAGTTAGCCAAACTTTTTACAGCCATTAAGATTTTCAAACCAGAACAGAGCTGAACCGAACCTTTATTTCAGACATTTTCAAAGTCGTAATTAGTGGGCTGCTGAAAATAAATGTTTTTTTTTTTTTTTTTCTGGATGATTTGTTATACCTCTTGCATTAGAGAATTCTTCACCTTCATCCTCTAAACTCCCTCAGACAAGAAGGTGCATTGTAGGACCTCGTGTTTATGATAATTTAAATAAAGTATTGTATTTTTTCTGACTGCTTTATTTTCTATTAGTGCTTCTTAGAGATGTTAATATTTTTAAACAGTAAACTTGTCTTTACCTCTTTGAAGCCAATGTTTATATAAGTATTACTTAAAAATTTCATACCTCAGAGATAACATAACACACCTCCATTACAAAGATCAAATGATTAATGGTGTTTAAAGAAATAATCACTATTTTCTCTGAGTAATATGTGAAAACCATGAATACACCTTATGATCAAAATGTAGTTATTGTTTGTTAACATGTAGTTACCACTGAACTTAAAAAACTTAAGTTAATCTTCTTTTCCAAAAGTTTCAATAAATCCACATTTATTTTAGGAGCGTCTGAAGGGTCTGTATCGGTTGGTGCATGATATAGAGGAAGAACGCATTCGAAGTGAACATAACCTTAATAATATTACAAAAGCTCATGAGAAGATAAATCAGGAAGAGAAAGTGTCACCATATTATCAGGTATTGTCAATTCATGATTATCCATTTCCACATTTATAACTTCAAGACTTTATAAAGTATTACAAAATAGAATCTTTGCATAGTTTCATGGGTATGCCAGAGCATCTTTTTTATGTTTTTATATTTATTATATTTTAGTATACAGAATGTCCGAGAAAGAGTGCACACATTTTAAACATTTTTGAAGATTTCCGTCTTCTGGGTTGTTGCGTTGTGTAGTCTGGTCGATGTTTACCAATGTTTCAGAGGTCATACTGCCTCCGTCACCAGGTCATCGCCTTGATGACGGAGGCATGACCTCTGAAATGTTGGTTAACATCGACCAGACTACACAACACAACAACCCAGATGACGGAAATCTTCATACTCACCGCTGTGAAAACCTCAAATCTTACTTAAACATTTTTATTGAGAAAATAAACAGAGCTAGGATAGTACAGTTTTCACCACAAGAAACAGCAGTTCAAAAAGTTTTTCCCCACCTTTCTCCATTTCACTGCACTTCAACCTGAGCTCCCTTTGTTGCTCGCACAATGTCCGTCCAATATTCAAATGCTTGGAAAGCATTGACACACATTTGAGGCGTGATTCCTTCCACAGAATGGATAATGCGGTTCTTCAAATCTTGCAAACAAGTGACTCGTTTGTGGTATGCCTGGTTCTTTGTGTACGCCCAAAGGAAGAAATCCACAGGCATTAAGTCTGGCGATCTTGCAGACCAATCTTCCAATCCATCTTGCCAGAAACGTATGGGGGGAAAACTTTTGGAGTTGCTGTTTTATGTCGTGAAAACTGTACTCTCCTAGCTATGTTTATTTTCTCAATAAAAATGTTTAAAATGTGTGAACTCTTTCTCAGACATTCTGTATTTTACATTTTAATGGGATTGCTATAAAAGCTTATTCTTTCAACCCCTTGTTTAATGTATGAAGTTTTATATGTGATTTTTTTTGTTTTGTCATTATTTGTTTGTGAATAATTGTCACATTGTAAGCCATTTGTTATTTTGTTTCATTACCTTGCATTAATTTTCAGTTGCTGATAATAAGATATTGATTGTGGTTGGCAGGCAGTGCCATTATGCAATTTATTCCTTAATTTATACAGTTTCTTTTAGTGATACCTGAAATTTTTTGTGACAACATTTTATTTGTATAAAAGTGGTGGTGGTATTTTGAGAATATGCCTAACAGTTTTAATGTATTTAGACTCTCTTCTTCATGTTTTGAAATAATGGTGTCATACTGTATACTGCCACAGAGAAAGCACTGAAGATACTTTGAGCAGTTTTTTACATTTTCTGTGCTGTTTTGTAGTACCTGCATCCTGATGTAAGAAGATAAATTTGAGAGATGTTGCATTAATTTTTACGTCTTAATACAAGAATTGCTGTGGTTCCCAAAATCTCTACCTTTTTGCTTATGACCATCACCTTCAGATCTCTCTTAACTCACTGTACATGATTATTCTTACATCTCATTTCAAAGTATACAAATTTTCACTTAATGTAGCACCATTAAATAACCTGCAAATCAATATACCACTTATGTCATATCTCATTTGGTGTTAAGCAACGTTTTAAATTGATTCAGTGCAATGTATAATCTGCATATCAATCTTTAACATGTACAGCAATCCATAATAAATGGATGCCTTTGTTCTAATAAGGAAATCAAGTACCTTTTCTGTCTAATTGTATTTCGTTAAAAATGTATAAAGCAATGAATTCAACACTTTTAATTGTTTTTCTCTAGCAAAAATTGAAAGGTCTGTATTCTGCTGCTGTGGCAGATGCTGAACAAGAAGAAGAATTAATTCGCAGTGCATTGACGAAAGTGAATGAGATTCGGTCCATCAGGAATGAAAGGAGGATACAAGCAAGGAATGCTGGGAATAAAGAAACAATACGTAGAGGTGCACTGATGAAAATGCTTCAAAGCTCAGCACAGACATTGCCTTTATGGGTAGGGAAACTTGGGGAGAAAGCCCCACCTCTTTGTGGTGCAGTTCCTGCAGAGTCTACGTATGTAGCAAAGGTAAGCTTTACTATAAATATGCAAGATTTGGATCATAAACAGTTAATATTTGACAAAACAGTCACATGACATTGAGTTAAGAAGGAACTATAGTAGGTTCCCTAAGATTTTCTGTTATAATCATTTAATTTAGTCTTATGATACCTTATGAATTCACATAAATGTTATATTTGTGATATGCAGATGGGAGACATGGTTGCTGCCTTGGTGAAAGGTGCAGAAGAAGAGGAAAACTGGATTCTAGCAGAAGTTGTACAATTTAATGCTGCCACAAACAAATATGAAGTAGATGATATTGATGAGGAACAGAAAGACAGACATATTTTGAGTCGGCGTCGTGTTGTACCCCTCCCACTGATGAGAGCAAATCCTGAGACAGATCCACATGCTCTCTTCCCAAAGGGTTCTATAGGTTTGTATTAAGATTTTAATATGTTGGATGATAAAACTAGCCATTGTAAACATGTTAGTTATTCTGATTGCTTTGGAGTCTTCAAGAACAATCAGGTGTAAATAGAATAGCAGTTGACACACTTCTAAACCCACTAGTACAGCTACTTAAAAGAACATCTATCTTTTGGAACTTTGTATTACTTCTAATGTTGCATTAGGGCTCTTGTGGACATGGCAATGAACTTTTGTGTTCCATAAAATGCTTGGAATTTGTTGACTAGCTTAGTGAATGTCTTTCCCAAGGACTTGCTTCATGGAGTTAGTTACTCATTCAGATCATATGATATAATTCCCACCAATATATAGATTTTCATTGGCACATTTTTCTAGTTAATGTAATTTTGGTCACTTAATAATCATTATAATAAAGCTTTGTTGCATAGATATGTATACATTTCTCCATAGTGCTTAAGAATATGTTTTTACTTGTCTCAGTAATGGCCCTGTACCCTCAGACAACGTGTTTCTACAAAGCTGTTGTGAATCAGCTTCCTACATCTTCAACAGAAGAATATGAAGTTCTTTTTGAAGACCCATCATATGCTGATGGTTATTCCCCTCCTCTGACTGTTGCACAGCGCTATGTTATTTCAATCAAAGACAAGAAAGGAAAAAGTCAAACATGACAGCTGGCCACAGTGACAGAGATTGTCACAGCACCTGCAACATGTTCAGATTGATGGAAAAAAAATAATAAATGTTGAGAAATGTCTAATTTTCTCACAGTAGAACTCAAGACTGCAATATACTAGTACTTTGAAATATCTATGCTTATGCTGGATTAAAGAAACTTGAATTAATCAGTGTAATAAAATTCAGTTAGCAGAAGAAGAATAGAGGTTATTGACATTTAAATGTTTGTGGTTGTAGGAGATGATATTAGGATTTAAAGCTGTCATAACTATGACTTGAGTTTGTACATTTCTTGAAATAATACATCATGAAATTCACATTTAAAGCTGCATGGGCTTTATAATGAAATATTACATATTTACTTTGGATTAAAACATACTGAAATGCGTGAATATTGTAAAATTCTCAGTTAAAATAATGTAGAGGTCTACATTGAAGTATCACATTTTTATTTTGTAGTAAAATATGGATTGCATGAGTATTAAGATCTTAAATTTATATTTGCTTAAAGATAGGAAATCAGTTTGTTGTTGAAAAATGAATGGTTCGTGTAGTATGAAAGAACAGTCAAGGTAAAGATAAAATGAATGGTATAAGTGAAAAATGTTTAGCTGTTGTGACAGCTTTGTCCAGCACAACTCTGTCATGGATTAGATGCAAGTTGTATCAGGGTTTAGGTAGTGGGAGATTTTTGCTTGCACAAGCTATGGAGAGAGATATGGGATAATGATAACATTTTTATACTTTTCATAGTGTTTAAGGGCTCAAAGAAAGAACAGACAATACTGTTACAGCCTGGTATCAGCTTCAGAAACAAGGGACTGGGGGAAAAGGATGGACCATGATTGGAGTCTTAATTTTTATACAATAAATTGGGTGTTGCCACTTTGTAAATCTGATAATTTTAACAGAAAATTAATGCATAACATAATAGTTTTACCATCTTCACTTTGTTATAAGCAGGTAGGGCCATGAAGAGCCTGGATTGCCTGAGAACAGGATGTGCCAGAAGGAATAAAATAATGGATATTATATTCCTGACCATTTGGTAAAACAAATTTGTTGTACGGATTAGTACATGTATTTAAACAATAATAACAACATTACACATTTTCCTTTCACTTTTTGACGTAAATACGTCTATACGGAAGGGTCATTCGGCAAAAGGGTGAAAGGAAAACGTGTAACGAAAATGTGTAAGATCTGTATCAACAAATCGACAACAATGATTACCAATAGAACGTCGTGTTTATTCGGCATTGTTGTTACCTAACGTGTAAGATCCATATCAACAATGTGTAAATATGGACCGACAACAATGGTCAGCTTGCGTGCATTGTTATGTTACCTAGGAAACGTCATCTGTTAACTTGGCATTGTGTTACATTACTGCAGTCAACAATCCGCTTCCGTTATTGCGGAAAGAGCTGAGCTGTGAATCGCTTGTAGAAGTGAGTCGTAGACTAGATAATTTTGACATTTCATTTCATTACATTCAGCTACCTTCCTTTCATTGTATTTATTGCTTAAATATAATTCAAATACAGAGACGTATTTACTTCAGATTCTCCGGAACCGTGGTTCCACTGTCAATTTTTTGCCGAATGACATTTATGTATGAGAAAGGAAGTTTCATTTCTGTATATTGGCCGTCATGATTAAAGTGATAAAAAGAATATAGTGACAATATAACCGGCATTACAAAGTCTGTGTTACGTGGTGGTTTATCCATCATCATCAAAGTTTAGGTGATGTAATTTAAATTTTTTCACAGTGTATGAGTAAAATTATGTTTTTCCCGGCACATATGGTGTATAATGATCGACGTATAGGTTACGCATAAGTATTTTGAATAGTGTACCAGTAAGGCGTTGGTCGTGTGTTTTGTATGTAGCGTATATTGATAATTAAGTTCAGATTAATGAGATTGTCTGATTTAGTTTTGAATTGAATTTGGGATTACCATATTAAATAAATTAGTTTATATATATATTTGAGATGTACATATTTGAGGTTAAAGTGACGTAGCAAATAAATTGCTTCGCAATTGCAGGGAAAAATGGCCGAAACAGAAGAGTTGGGTCTTACTACAGAAGACCAGTTAGAAGCTTTGGATTCTCTAGAAAATGGTCAGGAAGTTGAAGCTGCAGAGGGAGGGGAAGGAGATGCGGCTGTTGTTGGCTCAAATGCAGTCGATGATCCTGTAAGTTTTGTTTTAATATATGTGGCAGTTTTCGCAAGTTAACAAATTTGTTTTCATGTAAAATGTGTTGGTGAGAAGTCTGCACAAGAGTTTTCAGAGTGATCCTTATCAGTATAGCTTCTCGATTTCAGGAGTTGGAGGCAATAAAAGCAAGAGTTCGTGAAATGGAGGAAGAGGCAGAGAAATTAAAGCAGTTACAATCCGAAGTTGATAAACAGATGAACCTTGGCAGTCCGCCGGGAATAAGTTAGTACAAACATGCAGACTTCATGCAGCGTGTTTATATTATTTTAAAACCCTTGAGTGCCTTTGTTCTTTTTTTAACTGTTTGTATTCACAGTGATTGGAGTGGAGAAACGAGCAGAATGGTACATTTCAGACTAAGCAAACACAGCAATCTACTATAGGTATAATGGATAAAAGGAAACAAGGTGGTTTCATTTTATTGGAAAATATGTTTCTTAGTAACACACGCCATCACTTCCCTCTTCTTGCATTACATGTAGCCATATATCATCATATAAGTGTGCCTTGGAGTTATGGTTGGTGATTTATTCAAAACCGTGTTGAGTAGTAGTAATGTGGTGTGACTGCTAATCCTTGGATTTTATTTATAAGACAAAGTTGGTTGATACTGGCATGGTAGGATCGTGTACCTGTTCTTTGGTCTATCACAGGTAAAGGATAAAATTTTGGTTAATACAGTAGGATGTTAAAGCATTGTTCATGTATAACAAGTAATCCTAGCAATATGTATTTTGGATACTTGCAAGGTGTCGCATGTGAGGGGTAGTTTGGTGCAACTGTGCATTAAGGTGACCATATGCTTAGGTCTGTTACTTTTATGGTACTATGAAGAAGAAAATTGAAAGATTTTTATGAAAAAATTTAAGATTATACAGAGAATCTAAACATCTGGGAAATTGTACCTGGTTTTTGGAGGTATGCTTTGGAATTTTAGAATGCTTCAAAGATTAAAGTTATGTTACATAGAATGTATTACATGTTTTGGCATATATAATAGAACCTTAGATCAGTGTGGATTATGAGAGGTATAAGCTGATTGCAGGCATTAGGTTTGAGGAGTATTAAGAACTTAACAAGAAGGGTCAAAATATGAAATCAGCAGTACAGGAAAAGTTGTTTATAGTAAGGGGAGAATATTATGGACATGTATTTCATGTGGTTGGCACTATAATTCATTTGAATGCGTCTAGGATGAAAATGTTTGAACGATTGTTTGGGGTAACCAAGACAGTGAAAGATAGAGACATCTTTGTGATAGGGTGACTTTGGTAAAATTTTCAGTTATTGATGGTGATACATAATTTTTTGTGCTTGGTAAGTTGTGATTTTATGCACAGTTATATTTTTGATTTTTTTGGATTTGAAAGTCATTCTCAGTTGAAACTAAGTTGTTATTGAAGTGGATGTGAGAGTAGAATTAGGACATTGTGTGATGTGGGAAAATATATTTGAAAGAAATGGTTTACTTTTTGGAATATTTAATGTTTCTGGCTGGATTTATTGCACTATGTATTTATTTTTGATTGGGCAGCTAAATTTAACTTGTACTGTTAGGATATAGAATGTGGTGTTGATTGGTTGGATATGGTTTGAATGATATTAACAATTGAACCACCAACTGAAGCATTTTGGAAAGTTTGGGCTCAGTTTCTGGTGCCTGATATTTTCCTCACTTTACAGAGTCTTTATATGAATAGTGCAATTTCTATCTCTCTGTTTATTGTCTCTTGACTATTGTTATTTACCCTGTAATTTTTTAGCTGCCTTTATTTTCCACCTAATCTTTATATTAAATGTCTGTTTACAGCTAGTCCATTGAATATGTCTACGGAAGAAAAAATGGAAGTTGATAATCGATCCATTTATGTTGGCAATGTAAGTTGCAACACATGATTGGTTTTTGTTTTGATGTAGAATGAGTACATCCAGTCATGCAGTTTCACATTTATTCTTTTTCTTCATTTTTATTTTATGTGTTGATGTTTGTGAAGATAGTGGTAAGTATGAATGATTATGCATATTTTGGGGAATGGTTTCACACAAGGATCATTCTGTATGTTCAGTCCTGTACCTGTTTGTTAAAAGAAGTTTATGAATCAGACTCATAAATTGCATGTCACGAATGATGGGAAAATCTAAAGTAATATACATACAGTCAGAAATATTCTCACAAAACCCCTAACAGCATTATCATTAATGCAATGGTTATAACAACTCACTCATCCATACATATTATTCCACAAAGACTGAAATCAAACTAAGCTACCAACAATCACTTGCTTATATAAATAGATGATAAAAGCAACAACAGTGCTCATACATACATACATATTATTACATTCCATGGATCCATAAGATAGTCAGATGACAATAGGATGCGGAAAAAGTCATAATAATAATACAATACATATTATAAAGTACAATTCATACTATTGTATAAATTTCACTTAATACAAACAAAGGGTTCACCTAAAGTAATGATATGTTACAAATAGATCTACCCATTACACACAGAAGATAATTTATAATGTATTTGTAAACAACAAATTCATTGACAGATTAAAAGGAGTGTAATTATCTTTTTAATGCTACATTAAATTGCTCATACTTATTTGCAAGACTTGTGAGACTTGATGGTAGACTGTTGAAAATTTTGATTCCTGCATAATATGCACTCTTCTGAAAGCATGAGAGGTTGGCAACTGGTCTATGAAGCTGATTTTTATTCCTTGTGTTGACACTATACAGCAGCATTACTTTGAAAGAGTTCTTATTTATTTACAATAAGTTCGTTAACGAGAATATGTATTCACAAGGAAGAACTAAGATCTCTAATCTCTTAAATAGACTTGTACATGAATTTATAGGTTTCACTCCAGCCAATAATCTAATAATTTTCTTTTGTAAAGTGAATATCCTTTTACTGTTTGATGAATTTCCCCCCCACCAATATTCCATACTTCATTGTAGCGTGAATATAGGCAAAATATACTGATCTGAGTGTGTCAGTGTTGCTGACATGCAACAGAGATCTAACTGCATAACATGCTCTCCTTTACTTGGGTATCAGTTTATCAATATGATTTGTCCAATTTAGGTGATTATCAATTTGCAAACCCAGGAATTTTGTATTTATTGACTCTTGTATATACTTCCCACTATAACCAATACTTACAGCATGAGTTATTTGTTATAAATTTTATTATATTCGTTTTATCTAGATTTAGTCAAATTGTTATCAGTAAACCATTTACTCATGTGAGATAGAACTATGTTTGATGTTGAACAGAAATCGTCAAAAGTTTTAAAAAGATGACCAAGTAATGTTTTTCTCATGTCCAACAGAAAAGGGCATTGAAGCACAGAGTATTTTGAAGGTCAGGGAACAATTTTTTGATATTATTCCTCTGCTCAGTCATATCAAATCCTTTCTCATACAGTTGACATTGAATATGGTAAGTTTTTACAGTTAGTCTTCTCATTTGTGTTTGCACCATAGAACTTCATCTCAAATTGTAACTTTTATGGGGTTTCCTAATTCCATTTAAATACCAGGATAGTACAGTTATTTGCAAAATATGCTCTCTGTCCATTTGAATTCACAGTTGATACGGTTACTGTGTAAGCGTCTCAGTAGTAAATAGGCAAAATATGAATATGTGAATAAATTTGAACATTGATTCATATTAATGTAGGTTTTATTTATTGTATTGTATATAGTCAAGTTGAGCTATATGAGATCAATAAAATATGTGTGATTTGATAGGATAGGGACCAGCGACAGGCTTTTGTGGATGTAGTTGTGAACCTTCTTTGAGAATCTGAGAATTTCTTGATTAGCTGGACTAATTTTAGCTTTTCAAGGACTCTGCTGCGTGGAATTGCTTTATATGAGTAATTAAGGCAAATTAGTTTCATTTTATATTGAAGCTGAAGTATGAATTTTCAAATGATTCTACACTTATATGACTTGAAACTTTTCACAGCAACTAACTTGATAAACCCCCTTGGGCAACTAGCTGTGTTAGTTCTAGACAGAACCCCGATGCATCAGACCTCTGTCTCCATCATCAGGGAGTGATGTTAGGTTGACCTCTAGGTAGTTTAGGGAACCTGAAGGTTCATCACCGAATTAACCAGAGCCCTCCACTGGTCCCTGTCCTGGCCCAACAAAATCCATTCACTGACAACTCTTATGTCCCACAGATCCCACTTGATGTTATCCTCCTGTCTATGTCTCCCAAGTGGTCTCTTCCCCTCAAACTTCCTGACCAATAATCCTTGACCCAAATATCCTCTACACTCTATTCTAAAACAACAGGCAAAATTATTGTTTTGTATATATTAATCTTTAGGTTCTTAGAAATCAGATGTGAAGACGAAATATTTGGAACTGAAATGTAGCAAGCATTTCCAGAATATAGTCTCCTAATTTCCTCATGAATATTATTTTGATTTGTTAATAGTTGTTCCCAAATATTTGAACTGTGTCATACTTTCAAAGCCACCCAAGTTATCTGTACTTTGTAAATTTATAGATGATGGTTCAAAAGTAAATTTGTCAATCATAAATCTGAATTGAACATTGTATATGGAGACACTTCCAAATTTTGTTATATATAGTTAAATATGTGGCAATTATTTTTTACATAACCATTTTTTTCTGTGAATGTTTGTGGGCAAATAATTAAAACTTGTTTCATTTGACAGGTTTTTGAATAATGGAGCATGATTTGTGTTACCAGGTTGACTATGGTGCGACTGCAGAAGAATTGGAGCAACATTTCCATGGATGTGGTTCAATTAATCGAGTAACAATTCTCTGTAACAAATTTGATGGTCATCCGAAAGGATTTGCTTACATAGAATTTGCAGAAAGAGATTCTGTGCAAACTGCTATGGCAATGGATGAATCACTTTTCAGAGGGCGACAAATAAAGGTAAGTTCTGTGGTAGATAATGTTATTTTATTTTTAACTTCCATGATTTGCAGTGTTTGTATTCAAAGTTGACTGTTCATTTTATTGACTTGGGACTCAACATTTCTGTAGAACATGTTCTAAGCAGACTAGAAGACTCCATTACAAATGCTCAGTCTTTCAAAGTACAGTTTGATGTTAATAAAAATAACTTACAAAGATATGTTGGAATGCAAGATGGCAAATTGAGTAGTTCCCTATGCATTGGGTTGTTTCCATATTAGCAGTGACATGGTTAAAATAGTTTCTGTTGTAGTTGGCTTGGTGTTACGTATCTTTCATATAAGTTCTTTCTTGAATCGGAGATAAAATCCAATGCATGTAGAGAAACTCATTAGGTGTCATTGTACGTGTATATATGTCAGTAGCAATTCCTGGTGTAGAAGTCGGGTCATGCAGAATGTACACCCCAATGCTTGGCGGTACCAACATAATTGTGTTTTATCTCTTTTCCATGGCAAAGTGTGTGTGACAGCATATTTCAGAGAATTTTAGTCGGATGCTGAATCTACTCATTTTGCAGACCTGGTGCATAAAAAGCTAAGACATTTGGTATATAAGCTATGCAGTGCATGTGTGCAGATGATTAGAAGCAAAACATTAGAGCTTCTATTGAGAAAATGTAGTAGTTTATATTTCATCATAATATAAAATAAGCAAACAAACAAACTAGTAACACTATTAAAAAGACACTAGTGCCATACGTGTTTCAACCTCAAGAGGTCATCATCAGTGGCAATGGGGAAATTAATTAATTTAATGAAAATGGTTTAGAAGACAAATCATGAAATAGAGTATTTTACAAAAGCATATAGTGTTAATAGTTTGTTTGTTTGCTTATTTTATATTCTAATACACTACACGGTATGCAAAGTTTTAAGATTATATTTCATCAGTTTTTATAGGTCTGGCAGTTCACAGCTAGCCACACTGGATTATTTGCCTGTGACAAATATATGAATTATGAATGGTTCAATATTTAATACACTGCCTCTGATGAATGAAACAGGAATGATAAAAAAAATGTTTTAGGTTATGCCAAAACGTACAAACCGTCCTGGAATGAGCATGACTAATCGACCACCACGAGGAAGGGGCTATCGTGGAGGAAGAGGTAGGGGTTCATCGTATTATGGATATAGACCAACAAGAAGGCCAAGGTAATTGTTAATGCAGTGTTAAATGATCCCACTGGCATTTTACCAAACCTAGAAGTTTGTGCTCACTGCATAATGTGTTTCTCAGTGATTGAATCTGTTATTTTAGTGACTTTGCAGTTAAACATCCAAACTGTGTGACTGAAAAAATATTCACCTTTATGTAATGAGCACTGTAGCAAAATACTACTATAGAATTAAATCATAAAAGATCCTACCACCATATCAAACATTTTTATTATGAACTTTAATGGTTTGATTTTATAAATGCACGCAGTTGTTAATAGAGAACCTTATGTCGATGCATGTTAGCATAAACCCTATTTTACTGTAATTTACCACAAGAACTTTGACACTTGTTCATGCAGATGTATAATTTGTCACAAGACTATATTGTCAAGGTGGTTTTGACCTGAACTGAAAGATCAGAATTTAGAGTGTGTTCTAAAAAACTTATTTGGTATGTTATAAATTTGTTTACTTGTAGCAAGATGGTAACTTTTGTAAAACATGGCTTACAGTGTCTATTGCCATGTAGTATGACAGCTATCGTGTATTATATCTTTGAAAAACACTGAAGGGTCAAACAAGAAAGTCGAGAAATGCTTCAGCAAGACTATAGTTAAATTCTGCTGAAACAAATAATAAGAATTGGCTGTGTTGTTGATTTTTGACTCTTTTGTTGTGCATAAAAAGACGGAAATAGAACGGAATATCTTCTAGACACTCTCTTCATTTCTGATCCCTCTATCAGATTTTGACATAACTTTGTGTAGTTTACCCATACTGAGAACAATACACAATCTCATGCAGGACAGGAACAAAAAGTATATATGTGAAAAAAGTAAACATGTGCATGCCATGAAACTAGAATTAGAATGAAGTCATGTTATGGAAATAGGTAGTTAATAAATTGAATGTGTTAAAAGAAGTATTTATGAACAACAGTAACAAGGAGAAATTTGGGTTTATGATGAAATTAGGAGAATATATTGTGTAAATGTTTGTTATTCGGTTCAAAAACTATCACATCTTCTCAAAATCCTTTCAAAATATGTATACAGGTATCCCTTGATTTGTGCCGATTCAGTATAACGCTTATTTTGAAACCAGCAAGTCAAAAAGTGAAGAAAAAAAAATTACTATTATTTATAAAGTTTTACAATGTATCTCATACTGATTCTTATTCTAAATCGCAATTCTTATATCGCTGATTTTGAATAAAAATTATAATTATTTATAATCTCTCTGCAATTACATATGTTTCGTTCACACGAATTTGCTCCAATGAGATCAGTGAATGGGTAAAAGCTGTTTTTGAAATGCAAACTTTTGCATATGTGAGTTTGCTCTTATGCTGTTTCATTCCTGGCGCTTTAGACTTCCAAAGGACTAATTTAATCCCAGCGGATGTACCAGGGTTATTTTTACTACGCGATTTTCTATAGGTCAGCATCTTACATGAATGCAACTATCGCATAATAGCAGAGATGACTGTACACATCAGTCACGTGAAAGAATCGCAGTCAATCGCAGGGACCAACGAATTGCTGATTATATGTGTATAAAATATATTTTTTAAATTCCTTTTATTCTATTTCCATTATTTCAGAGCTTTAAATGTAATGCCATTATATTACTCGTCAATGTTTGGGTGCTGGGAACGCATGTCATTGACTTCCTATTGATTTACATTATAAAAGAGTTTCAATTTATGCCGATTCCGTTTACGCTGGTTTGTCCAGAAACGCATCCCCGGCGTAAATCGAGGGCTACCTGTATACACATATCTAGAACATTGATTTTTGCACATGATATGTATGGGTGTGGAACATTACAAGTGTTTTACAAACAAAATGATCAGGAAAATATTTGGGTATAGAAGGATATATTGAAGACTCTCATGGGATATACTTATTAGCTAGTATTGTTAAGATAATGAAATCTAGGAGGCTACAGTGGGCATGGCATGTACTAACCATTGGGAGAGACAAGAAAAACAGAATTTTTGTGTGATACTTCATGGTAAATGATGACTTGAAGTACTGAAAGTGAAATTACAGAATGACAGTAAGGTGGATCATAAGGAAATAAATGATAAAGATTAACCACAAATGGAAGTGACTAAGGAATTTATCAGGTGTGAGTTTTGGTGTAAGCAGTATTTACCCTTGTTCTTGCTAACAAATCACAGGTGCTTGGTGTTTGGATAAATACATACTTTGTGTGTGTTACAGTTTTAACCTTTGTCTTCTATGTAGGACACCATACTACCTACCATAATGTATTTTAGAGACCTAACTGGAAAACCGCTCTGTCATAATAATTTCCTTTATGATGCTCTGCATTTTTGTAGATTTTAATTTTGGCTGGGAGTGAGTACATATGAGACTTAAATATTCTACAAAATCATATCTAGAAAAAAATACACCATGAGAAAGTGTGACTAAAGGACAATGAATTTTATATTGGTAGTTGCATGGGAGGCCAAAATTTTTCTCGATTATTTTGTCATAATTAGCACTGAAACTTTAAGTTTAATATGTTATCAGTGGGAGTGTGATCTTTTTGTGTGACTAGACTTCCTTTTGTTGTTCACAGCGTGTGGGATGTAATTTTACTTATCTTGAAAATGGTCACCATTATTTGA